AGTATGAAATGCCCTTCAGTGGAATTCTTTTTTTTTTTTTTTAAAGATTTTATTTATTTTTTGAGAGAGAGAGAATGAGAGAGAGAGCACGAGAGGGAAGAGGGTCAGAGGGAGAAGCAGACTCCCTGCCTAGCAGGGAGCCCGATGTGGGATTCGATCCCGGGACTCCAGGATCATGACCTGAGCCGAAGGCAGTCGCTCAACCAACTGAGCCACCCAGGCGCCCCCTTCAGTGGAATTCTTATAGACACTTAAAGAGAAAACACGGTGGATCTATTTACCTCAAATGCAGATTAAGAAAATTATTGAGATACATAATACTTTCCAAGTGATTCAGAGGGAAACTCACTTAAGGAAAAAAGAAGCACCGTATTATAAGAATAGTGGCCTCTGCATGAATATCCAAAACAGGAGCTGTCAATCTGAGTATTTCTTTAAGTGCTCATACTTCTCCAGAATTTTCCCCAAGTATCAGGAAAGCATCCAAGGAAGGAATTAAATTGCAGTTGAACAGCTTTTAACAATCTTGAAGTCATTTGAGATCTGGACTCACGCATGCGATCTATTTCACAAACTTTATTAGAGTTTATGAGTCAGACTCATATGTTACTCTGGCTTCTACTTTGATTCACTGGCTTTTGTAGGCTCAATCTTACTTAATACCACACAAACCCTTCCACAAGGACTGCCCTTGGGCGTTCTGGACTACATAGTCCATATCCTTTCATTTTAAAGTAATTTCTACTCAGGAAAAACTAATTTGCTCCTTTGAGTGTCAGCTGACTAATTCTATGGCCATAGGAGCAGTAGGCTAATTATGACCAAAGCAGTTTCCTAGGAATCATATTTATGATCCAATTTAAGCAGAAAAGAGTCTGATTTAGTTCCAAGACGTAAAAAGTATACACTGAACTCAAGCGAAGGATTTAGGCCCCAAAGTCAGCAATGGCTAAGATGATGTCATTATATCCACCCTTTATTCTCCTATGAAAATATATCTCTTTCTATTCCTTTTTCACTCTTTTTTTTTTAAGGTTGTTGTCCAAGGTTTATTGAAGCTATTACAGCACAGCAAAAATATTCAAACGGCTCCACGTGGTGTTTTGAAATTCATCCCAAGTGCAGGCTGAGTGACCTGCAGTTTGGACAGACTGCCAAAGTCCAAGAGTTTCAACATTTCCTTAGTGTCAGGATCTCCTGATCCAGGGCAGAGATCTCGGGCATGTAATTATCCCTCCTTCCTCTCTCCTCCGGCAACCCGATGGAGATTCCTCTCCCTGGGCCCCTCTGAATCCACTTCATCAGGTGTGTGACAAAGCCTGTGATCTTGCTTCGGAGCTTCTTGCTGGGGATGATGGCAATCTCCTCACACACACGCTTGTTGGTGCGGAAGTCATTGCCCAGATGTGTGTCGTACTTCTCAGTGATGACTCAGGCCACCTTCTTCACGGTTTTGGTGCGAACACGACCCATGTTGCAGGCGGAGAGTCCATCTCTTCTGTCTTTATTTAATCCCACACCTTTCCTTTTATCCTTGTTTCCATTCATTCATTCTTTATTCATCCATTCAACACGTATTTATTGAATACGTACCGTGTGCTAGGTACTATTGTAGACAATGGAGGTATAACGGTGAACAAGAAACAGTCTATGCCTCTGTGGGCTCTACATCCTGGGCGGGAGGAAGATAGTAAGTAAACATAAGATAATAACCGTATGACAAATACTAGGAAGGAATCCGGGTGTTGGGGGGGAGAGAGAAGTTTATAGGTTGGAGAGGGAATAAGACCCTAATTTAGAGCCAGTGGACAGATAGGCCTCTCTAAGAGGATGACATTTGATCTAAGATCTAAAAAGAAAAGCATGACCGGTAGCAGGGCTTTTAAAGTACTAGAGAAAAGATAGGCCAGTGAAGGGAGCAACAAAATGTAAAGAGCCAGGAGTCAGGGAGCGAACTAAGATGTTTGAGAAACGGAAGGAGGCCAGTGAGCATACGAAGAGAGACTTGGGCAGGGGACAGAGGAGGTTAAGAGATGACACTGAAGAGTTGGCTGGCATTAGATAGCATCGGAACTCAAAGTTAGAGCAGACAATGTGATTGCTTACCTAATAGCCATAAGCTCTTCTTCCTTGCTAATGGAGCTCCAGTTTTGCTTGGGTGGCAATGCGTCTCACTTCAGGGAGTGAATCATAATTTATTTAAGCCAATTCTGAACAATGAGATCTAAGGGGAAGTCACTGGAAGCTTCTGAGAAACATTTTTATTTCTGATAGTAGAGCCCCAAGTAAATAAAGCTTTTTGCCTCTTCTCTTCCTGTTTGGCTGTTGTCCTGTTTTGATGCAATGTACAGAGCTATGGCAGCCGTCCTGCAGCCATAAGCCTGAAGATGAGAGTCAACAGACTTAGGATGGTGGAAAGGATAGAAAGAACTTGAGTCCTTGAGGACATCAACAAACTGCTAAACCAATCCTGAGAACACTGATCTTCACCCTTTTTGCTAAACAGAAAATAATTTTCCTTATGGTTTAAGTTTCTATTAGCTGGGGTTTCTGTTATTTGTGCTGGAAGCATTTAATGGATACAGCAGGGGTGTGGCATGATCTGACTTATATACATATATTTTTAAGTCTCTTTGGTAACTGTGAAGAGATTTGTAATGAGCAAAAATGGAACAGAGACATTGAAGACTACTGTAGTAGACCCGAGGAAGGATCATGGTGTCTGGGCTAGTGAGGAAGCATTACAACTGGAGAGAAGTAGATAGATTCAAGATGTATTTGAGAGTAAAAATAACAAAATTTGCGGGTGCCTGTGTGGCTCAAATGGTTGAGCGTCTGCCTTCGGCTCAGGTCATGATTACAGCGTCCTGGAATCGAGCCCCGCATCAGGCTCCCTGATCCTTGGGGAGCCTGCTTCTTCCTCTCCCTCTGCCTGCCACTCCCCTACTTGTGCTCTCTTGTTCTGTCAGATGAATAGATAAAACCTTTAAAACAACAACAACAAAATTTACTTTGGTTCAGACATGGGAGAGGAAGGAGGTTGATAAATTAAGGCTGGTCTCTTTTGGGATTGGTGGTGGTGCCATTTATTGATATGGAGAAAATAGGAAGAAGTTTGGGGAAGGATTGGGATCAGGAGGGTTTTTTTGGAAATGTTAAATTTAAAATATGCATTCAAAGAGAGACATCGGGGGTGCACCACATTGGGTGTAGAGCCTACTTTAAAAAAAAGAGAGATGTCAAGTCAGCAGGTAGACAAATGAGTCTGAAGCACATTAGGTCAGGGCTTGGATTTCAATTAGGAAGGTGTCAATACACAGATGTTATTTAAAGCCACAAGAACAGATAAGGTCCTCCCCACTGGCCAAAATTTGAGGAATTTTAAAATTAGAGGTCCGTTAGCAGGGGAGGAGCCTGCAAAAGAGCCTGAGGGGAAGTAGTGAGACAGGTAGGAGGAAAACCAATAAAACAACAATACTTAACATTTATATAGAGCTTACTTCAAGCTAGGCACTGCTCAAAGCACTTTGTGCCTTCATGGAAACAGAGAAAAAAGTGTTTTCCTTTCTTCCTTTCTGTTTTAACTCCTGTGGCTTTCCCTAGCCCCACAGTGCTTCTGAACTGTAATTTGTAATTAATTATTAAGGTATAACATATTCATTGAAAAATATTCAAACCGTATAATACAGGAAAACTAAAAACGGAAAGCAAAGAAACTCAGAAACTTTCCTCCCAGCCTGATCTACCATCATTAAGAATTCTTGCTCTCTCTCAGGAATTTTCTGTACACACGCACGTATTTTTACACAGATTGGATCATTCGCTCTTGATAGGTAGATAGCTATAGATACGTACACACACAAATATATCTAATTCCGCAAATTTTTTTTAAACTCAACACATTCTGGAGATTTTCTATATCAGCACATACTTATCTACTCTTTTTAAAGACTGATATCGTATTGTATTAATATACCATAATTTATTTAAGTTCCTCTACTAATGGGCAATTAGTTTCCTGGTTTTTCCTGCAAACTGCTGCAATAAACATCTTTGTAGATAAGTCACTGGATATTGGTACAAAAATAACCGATGGATAATTTCCTGGTAGTGAAATTGCTGAATCAAAGCCCTTAAGCCACCGATATTGTCAAATCACCCCTCCAGAAAGTTTACACAAAGCACAGTCTCTTTAACAGCATTTCCTCACACCTTGTCAACACTCGGTATTGACAAACCTCAAAGTGTGTCAGGCTATGAGACTGAAAAAATGGCGTCTCGTTTTTATTCGGGTCTCTGTAATCATGAGCAGGGCAGCAGCGTGGTACTGTTGAACATACACGTTTTGAAGTTAGACCCCCGGGCTCCATCACACGTCTTCTCCTTAAACGTGTGACCTTGCGCACGTTGGGTGTGTTTCTTCGCCTCAACAAAGGGCACAACGAGAGCGCAGGCCTTCAGGACTGCAGGAGATGGCGTGGGACACGGGCTACCTCGGCTTGGTCCGCGATCACCCGCCCTCGTCTGCATTTCCGAGCCCCGCTTGCTTGGGTCCTTCATCCTCGGCGCCCGCCTCCCAGCGAACTCACGCAAAACTCCTGGAGCTTGGAACTCGAAATGAGAGAAAACTTTGCCCTGCTTTTCAAAATTCTGCCCTATTTTCCGCCCACCTCGGCCTCAGAAACCCTAATTTACAGATGGACGTAAAGAAAGGAGTCGCAGTTTGTAAACAACTTGCAAAGTAGACACCGCATCTCTCGACGTCCGAGGCCAAGGCGCACAGCGTAGGGAACACTAGGCAACAACAACTTGACACTACGTGACCCGCAGTGCCCTGAGGGGTAAATTGGCAGTACTCAAAGGCTTCAGGGAACGGCATTTCAAACGCGAGCCCCAGACCCACCCCCTTCCCGCAGGCCCCGGGACCACCCTCCCGGCCCCGCCCCCAAACAGGAAGTGACGTCGCCAAGCGAGTCCGTCTTCTTCCGCCGTCTGCGGCCCAGGCTAGCGCGGGGTGCGCGTCGGCGTCGCGGCCGGCGGAGGGATTCTGGGTAACGGCCCCGGCCGGCTGGGGCGGCTGGCTCCGCGCAGCAGGTTCAACTCACGCCAAGTCCGTTGGCAGTGGAGGTTCTAGGGCTGGGGGCCGCGGGACATGGAGCAGCCGTGGCCACCGCCAGGACCTTGGAGCCTCCCTCGGGCCGAGGGTGAGGCTGAGGAAGAGAGTGACTTGGACGTGTCCCCCAGTTCTCCCCGCTGCCCGCAGCTGCCGGGCGGCGGCGCGCAGGTGAGAGGGGTCCCGCGTTTGGCGAGGGGGATGGGGAGGTGCCGTCGCCAGGCCCCCAGAGTCCCCTGTCTCTGCGACCCTCCTTGTGCCCTGCTCTGCGCCCCCATTTCACTCCCGGGGGTCCGGAGCTTGATGCTCATCCCACGGCTATTGTAGCATCTTCTGAGGGCTTCTAAGAGGGGCTGGTCATATATTCCCAACCTCCACCTCCACGTACACCTTTTCACCTTGGCTAATAATTCCTTCCCATCCTTGGAAGACGTTCCCCCCCCCCTCCCCGCTTCTGACAGCACCCAGATTTGGGGCGGCTAACGTTATAACGTTGACCCTTTGTCCCCTTGTGCGTGTCTTTATCCGAGCGCGTTATTCTGCTGAAGGCTCTGATACTTGTGCACGGTTAATAGTTAGGAACAGTGACTGGTTGGTTGTATTTCGGTAATTTACTGAGCTCCTGACTTTATGCAGATTTAGGATCCAATTTCACTGACTTCTGACATCTGAATAAATTCTGTAAACCTCGCTTTTGATGCTGGTGTAAATCTGTCTCCTTAACGTGACCATTTTTCCCGTCCGGTTATGTTTTGCTTCATATCATTTTCCAGTGACAACATACAGGCACACGTTTGCCTTTTCCTTCAGACTTCCTCAGATTCTTGGTGCTACTTGTGGTTTTCAGTCCAGCCTTCTTTCATCTGAAACTTATCCAAAGGACACACCGTTTGGGATTTTTCTGGGTCCTGTCTTAGGGAGTGCTTACATACTCTTATCACCTTGTCCTGGTTTTTCTCCTAATCTGAGTGTGTTTGGAAGTATATTTCAGGAACACAGACTAAACACTAACATGTTAAGTGAAAAGGGTTATAGGTGTCTCTCTGCCTTCTTGGCTTCTTGCAAAACGGGGTACCTAAGAGCTTAACTGAATTCACAGTTTTTCTCTAGGCTCATCTTGCTAGCAGTGAAGATGAGTTATTTAAATCGTTTGCCAATTAAGTGTAAGGCCATCGGTCCTATGCCCATCTCATTGGGTTAGTTGGCTTCACGGAGAAAAATGCTGTTTCATAACCGTAGACTGTACTTCGGCCAGTCAGTCTGTGGGAAAGTGCAAGACATTTTTTAGGAGGCCAGAAAGAGTTGATAGGTCAGTAGTCACCCCCTAATTATGGATCGCTCGTATCATCTTTATATACAAAATGTGTTATATGAGCATATAATGAATGTGTTATGGAGGGAAAAAATATGAACAGCAGCTGTGCTTGTCAGTTTTGAAGGCATATGAAGAGAATAAGAGGTCTCCAGAATTTCCATGCATTGTGGTTCAATCACAAAAGTAACCTAAGAGAAACACTAAACTTAGAAAATATCTAAGCTGGAAAATACCCAGCTGGCTAAGTCAGAGGAGCATGCCACTCTTGATCTCCGCGTCCTGGATTCGAGCCCCATGTTGGGTGTAGAGATTACTAAAATAAACAAACAAACAAACTTTTAAAGATCTGTATATTTTTTACTTGTGCACTTGGAATTGTAAGCTTATTTAGCTGAAAGTGATTTTATGAGCAAATAGGCTTATCTTCTTCATTAAAAATGATTTCTCTCAGATCCTATAGCTAGTTAGTGGCAGAATTAAAACTAGAACCCACTTCTGACTCCTAGTACAGTGTTTTTTCCTACCTGCTGCACTTCCCATCCTGTGATGTAATGTAAAACCATCTGGCTGACACTACCTTTGGTGTTAAAATTTGCAAAGTTGATTACTAATCCTAAGTTCATGTGTTTATAACCCACTTACTTGTCTTGCTGACTTTAGGACTTAAGTTTTTGGATTGGAATATTTGGAAAGAATAAAATATTTAAAATGATAAAACATTTTATAATTTTTTTCAAAAACAGTTCTGGTTTAATTTTACCAGACATGGGGAATCTAGACAGATTAGTGTCATATGTGATGTATAGTTCTGATACCCAGTTAAAGTAAAAGGCAACTCAGAATTTAGAGATCATGTTCAAGCATTTTTAATGTAAAGTTGCACTAATAAACCTAATGCCAGCAGTTCCTTTTAGAATTCATGTTCATTAAAATATTATTATGTTTAGATGCGCCTGGGTGGCCCAGTTGTTAAGCATCTGCCTTTGGCTCAGGTTGTGATCCCAGGGTCCTGGGATCGAGCCCCGCATCGGGCTCCCTGCTCGGCGGGAAGCCTGCTTCTCTCTCTCCCACTCCCCCTGCTTGTGTTCCTTCTCTCGCTGTGTCTCTCTCTGTCAAATAAATAAGTAAAATCTTTTTAAAAAAATAAAATATTATGTTTAATGTTTCTCTGAAACCTCAGTGTGTTCATAGGTAAAATGTGATCTTTTTTTTTTCCTTAATCGTCTCAGTATATGTTGGATAGTTTGCTCAAATGGCCAGATGTTTGTCTGTGTAGTCTGCGGAGAAGAATTTAACATGAATCATTTTTAGAATTTAGAAATAAGATTTCTGTGTTTGATTTGAGACATGAATATTTGTTCCCACATAATTTTGAAAATGCAAGGTATTTTCATTTGTCCGTATTGCCTTTCTTAGTATAGCTTTGTCTTACAGTAAACAAATTTTATAGCTTTATTCTCCTTTTCCTGGCCCCTTCTTAAGTATAGCTAGGCTGCAGTTATTCTTGATCCTATCTAAGATAGCAAAAAATAAATATTTTACTTGGTTAGTTAGGGCCTTGTGGTACCTGGGCTCCAAACCTGCTAAATGAATAAATCACCTGAATAGCAACAGTGTCCACATTTGCCGCAATAGAAATCTAAGACTCAGCTGAAAAGTAGAGGCCTTTCATGCTACTTGCCTCACCACTAGTCTGTTCCAAGAAGCGGGGAATCATTTATGCATATGAGATTTATGGAGTTGTAGCCCCTCGAGAAGCTGCTGGTTGAGTAAACAAATAAGCACAATATTGTGTGAAAACACCGCTAAGAAGTATGCAAACCTTGAGTGGGAAGGGAAGGGATTAGAGAAAACTTAAGGAAGTGATGCCCGAGTCTGGAATGGGGATAGGAGTTGGGGGGTAGGGGTTGCCACATTGAAAGGAGCGGGGGATGGAAAGAATAAGCAAACAAGTAGGAGAGTAACTAGAACTGAGTCTAGATAGATAATAGGAAGTGCGATCATGAAGAACCATGCCACAGAATTTGTGCTTTATCGTGAAGGACCATGCCACAATTTGTGCTTTATCCCAAGACTCTAAGAATGTGTAAAATTATCAGATTTGTTTTTTGGAGAAATTACTCCAAGTCTAGTAGAGTGGAGAATGACTTCAGATGAGAAAGACTGTATATAACTGAGGTATGAAATTATAAGTGCTTGAGGAGTGACGCAGATTAGGGAACAGATTGAAGTAAAATTGTTCTGAATACTTAGTTAAAATTGATCTGCATTTTGGCTGAGAAGTCATAAAGAATGTGCCTTCAGCTTTTGTTTTATAGAGCTGAACAATATAAGGACTTAAACACCCATCACAGTGCTGTAAGTGTAGTGGTTTAGTAAATATTAAAACTAATTACTGAGGCGCCTGGGTGGCTCAGTTGGTTAAGCGTCTGCCTTCAGCTCACGTCATGATCCCGGGGCCCTGGGATCAAGCCCTGCGTCGGGCTCCCTGCTCAGCGGAGAGCCTGCTTCTCCCTCGCCCTCTGCCTGCCACCCTGCCTACTTGTGCTCTCTCTCTCTGTCTCTCTGTCAGATAAATAAAAACCTTAAAAAAAATTTTTTTTAAAATCTAATTACTGTTGCTTCTGATACGAACAGTCAGTCACCAGGATGGACCAGTTTTTGGTGGATTTTTTTTTTGTTTTTATAATTTTGCCTATTTTGATTAGGATTAAGTTAAAGAATGTCTGTCTGTCTGATCGAGTCAGTTATAAACAGAAATTCCCCATATAAGAACTTCTCAGATCACCAGGGATTGGGATAATATAGAAGGAAAATAGAAACCAAGAAGTAATTACTTCTAAATAAAAGGTTCTTTGCAGTGAGGAACTTCCAGAACAAAACTCTAAAGATCTGGTTTTCAGCATGTTGAGTTGTGAGGTGATGGACTAGATTGAAGCTTTTGTTCTCATTATTCTGCTGTTTTAGGACTGTGAGGCTGTAAATCAAATTTCTTGAGCACCAGCTATAGGCAGAACATTGTGCTAATTATCGGGCTTTTTGCTACTGTTAGTTGTCCGAGAGCAGTATAGATTAACAGAGAAGTGTTTAGACTCTAGTTGATGAAAGAAGACCTATAATATAAAAGTATAACTGCATACACAGAAGGCAGAATGCATATGTATCAAAAATATTGTACAGCAATGCTTGACTAAAAGAAAATTGAATTCTGCTGCATAAACATACCCCTTGCCTTCTTCATTTCTTACACTATTGTTTTTTATCCAGATGTATAGCCATGGAATTGAACTGGCTTGTCAAAAGCAGAAAGAGTTTGTGAAGAGCTCTGTGGCATGCAAATGGAATCTCGCTGAAGCTCAGCAAAAACTTGGTAGCTTAGCCCTGCATAACTCTGAGTCCTTGGATCAGGAACATGCCAAAGCACAAACAGCAGTATCAGAGCTAAGGCAACGTGAAGAAGAATGGCGGCAGAAAGAAGCAGCTCTAGTACAAAGAGAGAGAATGTGTCTGTGGAACATGGATGCCATTAGCAAGGATGTTTTTAACAAGGTACAACTTTTTATTGGATTATAATGAAAGAAGAGAAAATGGAAGTGTTTGTACAAACCAGTTGTGCATATTTGGTAACAAAGCAACAGAACTTTTGAACAGTATTCAGTTTTGACAGTTTATGAAAAGTGTTTGTTACAGAAACCTGTATCCCCAATAGTGTCAAATGTGGGTAGTCGGAATATAAATCTATGGCTGTAGCATAGCACACTGAATGTAAGGGTGGACTCTGGAATCAGACTCATATCTCAGCTTTGTCACATGCTGCTGGCTTTGTCACCTTGGGCAAGTCACTTGACATCTCTAAGCCTCGGTTTCTTCAACAATTTAGGGTGAGTATGAAGACTGAGGTAATTTCTTAAAAGCCCACAGGTTAGGGCCAGGCATGTGGTAAAGCTCAGACGTTACAAGAGCTTTCCGATGTTGCTGTCAGCTTGCTATCAGTTTCGTAACACTAATGTGTAGATACTGGATTTATTGTAGAGTCTTTCACTGTTACTTACCAGTATGTATTTAGTAAACCTCAGGTAATAATCCAGATTTAGCATTACCAACATTACTGAATGGACTAGTACAGCACTTTTGCCAAGTTAGCAGTTATGAAGAGTAGTGTTCACTTTCTCACTGGATTATGTAGGCTTTATTCTTTGACTGTTGCATCTGAGGAAGAAATGGGCAATGAAATTCATTTTTACTAATGTGTAAAGTAACACTTCTTTCTTTCACTGTGTCTGTATATATTGTTCTAAGGAGCATGTCTTCTCAGCATTTATTTCTGGTTTGCATTTATACACCGTAACTACTTAAAATATTTTTTTTTTCTTCCAGAGGGAATGGTCAAAGTGCAGTGTTTCTTTGTTTTTATAAAGTTAATGTCTCTTAACACTGGTCACAAAGGAAATATTTTCATTTGTCTCTGCTTTTATTTTGTTGGTTTTTTTTTTTTTACTGTTTTTTTTTTTTAACTTAGGTTCTGACATAGCCTACATTTATACCACAAATTAATTAGGATTATCTTTATGTTCCAGTCATTTGCTCAAAATCGTACATTGATTTTGTCTGGGAGCTTGAGACTTGAGAGGACTGGTCTAGATCTGCGCTGTCCAACTCGATAGCCACTAGCCACATGTACTATTGAGCGCTTGAAATGTGGCTAGTCCGAATTGAGATGTGCTGTAAGTGTAAAATACACACCAGATTCCAATAATTTAGTACCAAAAAAAGTAAAATATTTCATTAATAATTTTTTTTTGTCTTACATGTTGAAATGATCGTATGTTGGATATGTTGGGTTAAATAGATGTGTTACTAATTTCATCTGTTTCTTTTTGCTCTTTAATGTGGCTAATACAAAACTATATTTGTGACTTGGATTATGTTTCTATTGGACAGTGCTGGTCTAGATAGCAGGATATATAAAGGAAATGTTTCTATTTTGAAATATATAAACTTGTGTGCTTTTGAGTTACAAACTGGCAGAGAGCTAGTTTGTGCTTTTTGTTTTTGGCAGTGATGATCACAAGGTTTAAATGCGATCACAGAATGTTCTGAGAAACTATTCTGCCAGTTTTTCTGGCCAGATAAAAACTTCATCTTGGTCTGGGCTTTATGGCTTATTAACTGAAAATAAGCACCTCCTTAATAGAAATCTGTACTTGATTTCAGAATCAAACTGGCCTCTCCTAAGAAAGGTTTACAACAAAGGTCCATTTTAGGTTTATGTCTTTGCGAAGAAGTTATAATAAATGTATTTTATACACTTTGAATGTCTAAGTTTATTTCCAGCAAGAACTCCAAAGATTAGGCTAGAGTTGCAAATATTTAATGGAAATAAATAATGTGAAATATATATTATGCATGTAAAGGATCTTTCTATACTTTGATATGGAAATTCCATTTAATGCACTTGGATTTTTTGGTATGATTTCTAAAATAATTCTATAATTTTGCACACGTACCATTTTAAAAAATAAACTTTTAATTTTTAAAAGAGTTTAACAGATAAATTTAATAATATAGTATCAGTATAATACTATACCACCTTTTTATAGTGTCTATAGGAAGCATTGCTAGGCATTCAGTATCTGAGAAAGAATAGTCAGTGAATATAAAATCTGATTTTAACTTCAAGAATTTTTTTCTTAGAGTTTTATTAATCAAGATAAAAGAAAAGAAATAGAAGATGAAGATAAATCAAAATCATTTATGCAGAAGTACGAACAAAAAATAAGACATTTCGGTAAGTCTGCTTAGTTTCCTAAGTGTTTGATATTGGGGCGCCTGGGTGGCTCATTCGGTTGAGAGTCCAACTCTTGATTTCGGTTCCTGTAATGATCTCAGGGTTGTAAGATTGGGCACTGGGTTGGGCTCCGCACTCAGCAGGGAATTTTCCTGAGATTCTCTCCCCCTCTCCCTCTGCCCTCCTGCTTGCTTGCGCTCTCTCTGTAAAATAAATAAATCTTAAAAAAAAAATAAAGTGTTTGATATCATAAATATGTGTACAAAAAGTGTATAAAATGAGGGCCAAAAAGAAGATAAATGGCACAATTCCAGTTTTGTGGCTACTTCTGGCACAGTTGTATAGCTCTTGCTTTATTTTATTTTATTTTTTTTTTTAAATTTTTATTTATTCATTGAGGGAGAGAGAGAATGGTATAGAGAGAGCATGAGAGGGAGGAAGGTCAGAGGGAGAAGCAGACTCCCTGCTGAGCAGGGAGCCCGATGCGGGACTCGACCCTGGGACTCCAGGATCATGACCTGAGCCGAAGGCAGTCGCTCAACCAACTGAGCCACCCAGGCGCCCGTAGCTCTTGCTTTAAACTGTTTTTTGGTCATAAATAGATTGACAGTAAACTAAATCAAGAAGAGAAGCAAAATTCAATCTATTATTATATAATGCTACTCTCTAAGGCGCAGTCTTTGCTTACTGCATAGCCTTTTTCCATCACCCAACTAGTCTTTGCTTTTGTCATTTTCCCTTTTTGCTTCTGTTGTATCTGATTATTTTATGGTTATAAGATTAGCATTCATTATTTTCAGGTTTTGGATATGTTCCTGTATAATTCCTGCAGCTCCTTCAACTGCAATTCAGATAAACATAGTAATAGAAATACGTATATGAAGTACTGAAAATTAGTTTTCTCTATTGGGGAAAGACAGTGGGCTGGGGGTTGATGTGGTGAAGACTTCCCACAAGAGAGAACATCTGAGCTAAATTATGAAGAACACCCAGGAGTTCTCCCTATAGATAAGCGAGCATCAGCACTGCGTGCAAAGGCAGAGTCAGGAGACAATATGCTGTGTTGGGTAAGCCGTGTGGTGCTGCGGGGGTCAAAATGCCACTGGGAAATGTTAGGGGTTAAGGCTCAAGGCATCTTTTTTTGATCCCAAGTAATATGTTAATTTCGTAAACATAGTTTTTATTTGTAGTATGTTAATAAGCTTATTAAGTGGCATTTTGAAATACATTTCCAGTGGTGTTTCCCCCCCATTTAGAATTTCATTCATCCTTCAGTTTTATTAAGACAGTGGATAGTACTTCAGACTTTTTCCCCCTTTTTATGTAGTTTATTCATAAAGGATTCATTTTTCTCATATTTCTTGTTTTGAAAGAAGAAAGCAGACTGTGTATTCAGATTAATTCAAGGATAGAACCTGAAGAAATGAACAAAGTTCACTTTTAAACATTTTGGAAATGAGTCTTAGTTGTGATAAGGTGATTTGCCACTCCCACCTGCAGTCCTTGCTTCCTAGACCTGTGTGTTCCACTGCATCTAGTGGAATGGCATCCTTTAAGGTGTTGTCACCCAGTTGGCATTCTGGAAGCTAGTTGCTTTGGAGCTGTGGGAAACCTAGTAGGTGCAAAACAGTTCCCTCATTTTTGCTGTAAATTGAATGTCTCAATAAGAAACAATTTTGTGTGGGGAAAATAACCCAGTCTCAACAAGGTGTTGTAACCCACCTAGCAGTATAACTATGTTTAAGTCTCCAATAAAACATTTAACCATTCTATAAAACCTGCTTCTGGGTAGTGATGTTTATAAGACCAGTGAATTTCATGAGCCTATTGTCTTCATGTCTTTTGCTGTAAAATGAATTTCTGGGTCAAGAACTAATGTGGTATGGTACTAAATAACTCATTTAGTAAGATCACAGATGTATTACTTGTAGAAGCATGGCAAGAAGGGAGGGCAATACCAGATCTAGAATGGGTTTGTTCAAGTGAGGAACCACTGCTCTCTACAAGATGAAATGGGACCAAGATAATCAGTCTGTTACTTGATGGTTGACTGGTCCATCCAGCATATTGGTGCCATATTTAGTTTTCAGCACTGGTTTCTGCTACTGGCAAATTAGGTATTCAGAGGCTATACTGGAATATCTTAATGGGGAGATCCCATGCCGTTGAATCTCTGCATAATCTCAAGTCTGCCACCATGGCCCCTGAGCTTATATTTTGCAAGCAGGGAGATGGCTGAGGAAAAGGCTGACTTGACATCTATAAGTGATTAATAAGCAGTGGTTTTGCCATTGCGTGTTGGGGGCTTCCAGTGTCTCATCCTGTAATACTAACCAGAGCCTTACTGTCTTCAAAGCCAACCAGACCTGATAGCTACTCCCAGATTCACATTGTGCCTGTTTCTTAATGGAAATGTACACTGGCTTTTTCCTTTGGAGGAGATACCTACTTGCCACAGCTCCTTGCATCCCCAGAAATTTTACTAAGGTAGTAGGCTCCCAAATTTTTATGTGTTTTTTTCCCCACTTTCTGGCATGTGTGTATCTTACCAGGACATCTGGATACCTGCTACTTCCTGCTGACCAAGTTCCATCAGTATGAAGTGGGCCAGCTGGTAATTGTGCAGGATGATGAGATGGTGAAAGTCCCTGTGGACTAAATTGTGGCATAGAGCTGACAGAGACCTTAGGCAAGATAGTGAAAGTTTAATGCTGTTCCTGCTGGGTGGAAGCAAATGTTTGTGGTGTTATATGCTTATTGTGGTAAAGGGGGGAAAAAGCATTTGTCAGAATTATGACTACAGTGATACACTTCTTTGAAGTAAACACATCTGGAATAGCAGCTGTAATTAAAGATTCCGACTGGAGGCTTTTCAAACTTGGATTCATTCCAGACTCTTGGAAGACATGGGCCTGATACATAGGGGGGCTGTGAAGGGCTCCAGGGGCTCAATACCAGGACTTCTCTGTGGTTTCAAGTGTACTTAACATTAACATTTCCATTATGGTGTTTGCTGACTGTCTTATGTTATTTTTGGTCTTATAATTAGGTGGACTTTATCATTTAATGATAAATGGTACGATCATACCATGGAGTATTTTAAAGCAATGAAATCTTGATTTTTTTTCCTCTTACATTTGTATTTAATTTATTTACTTTGGTTAATTCATATTTTATAAACATAAAATACCAATTTAGCAACAAAGTCTGTTTTCTTTCAAATTTCACAAAAGTTGGGACGCCTGGGTGGCTCAGTCGGTTAAGCGGCTGCCTTCCGCTCAGGTCATGATCCCAGGGTCCTGGGATCAAGTCCCACATCGTGCCCCCTGCTCAGCGGGGAGTCTCCTTCTCCCTCTCCCTCTGCCTGCCACTGCCCCTGCTTGTGCACGCTCTCTCTGACAAATAAATCTTTAAAAAAAAATTTCACAAAAGTTTTATTCAATGTCATATGCATCTTTGACATCACTTTCTTTTTGATCATCAGAGTGGCTTTTTGATGATCTAGCATAGTTTTTCATGGCACATCATCTGTTCACTTCCAGCCAAAGTTAGCTATGATTTAACATTTTTGAGTCTGTAGGGTGCTGTCACTGGAAATTTTATCGAAAGCTATAAATGTTTGCATAAATACCATGATGGATCATTCTCATTTGTATGGAAGGTGGATATTCAGTCTCTTCAGCGTAAGCGCATACATACTGCTTTTCAAAAACACATTATAAAGTACTCTTGAGTAGAATGTGGAGTGAAATGAGTAGAAAATTAATATGTATGATAGGATTCTAATTTTGTTTAAGTCATTAAAAAATAAGCTCAGAAAGAAATATATTAAAGTGTTAACATTAATTTTCTTTTGTAGGATTGCAGATGATTTTTCTGGATTTTTCAAATTCTTCACAATGAATATACATTATTTTTATAATATGAAAAAAATATTTTAAAGGGTTTATCCTAAGAATTGAAGGATAGCTTAACATTGGAAAATTTATTGATTTTATTATAAACTGTTAGTATTAACAGTTTATAATAATACAACCACAGTACTTGTTGATCACTTTGATGTGGGAAGAATGGAAATGTCTAGAGGAATTTCTAGAATTTTTGAGTGGGTGACATGGAGCCTAGGAAGCACCATAGATGGCAGCGAGAGAAAAATGGGTTTAGTTTCAAATAAGATTAGTTTATGTGCAAGCATGTAGGTAGAAATAGTTGTCTGGTGGTAGGTGATTGGAAATACAGGAGCCCTGGGACTTCAGAAATACAGAAAAAGAGGTCATTTACCTGTCATTAAGAAATTTACAACCTTGGGGCGCCTGAGTGGCTCAGTCGTTAAGCATCTGCCTTCGGCTCAGGTCATGATCCCAGGGTCCTGGGATCGAGCCATGCATTGGGCTCCCTGCTCAGCGGGAAGCCTGCTTCTCCCTCTCCCACTCCCCCTGCTGTGTTCCCTCTCTTGTTGTCTCTCCCTCTTTCTCTGTCAAATAAATAAAGAAAAATCTTAAAAATAAAAAATTTACAACCTTTTTGGGAGATTTTTTTTAGCAGGTAGAGACATTAAAATGATTAGTATAATTTAAAGGATTCAAATCTATTACTCTGTAAGTATAATGAAAGAAGAAAGGGAAATCAGTAACAGTGTGTATTGGAGGACCATTTCGGGAATTAGGTGGAATACTGAGAGCCAATGGATGGATTGGGATTTAGATGCTGAGGAAAATAATACATAGGTATTTTGTAGCACATAATTAAAAAATTTTAATTTGTCAAAGTAAGGTTTTTCAAGCATTCAGAGATTGGTTGGCTAGTTGAAATGACTAGATTAATCTTAACCAAAGTATTTAATATTTAATGAAAGAATGAATTATTCCCTTTTGTGTTGATACTACCTAATGTTTACTCTCATCAGGCACTGTCCCAAGTGCTTTATGTGTATTAACTCATTTAATTCTCACAGAAACCTTCTGAGTGAGATACTGTTTTTAGCCTTATTTTACAGAAGAGGAAAGGGAGGCATAGAGACAGGCAAGGCATATCTCTATGGTAAGCGGTAAGGCCAGTTTTCGAACTGAAGCAGTTGGTTTCCAGAGGTGGCTTGCTTAGTCGCCATGCTAGATTGTGCTACTCTCTACCTCTTTGTAAGTTTGTTTACAAATTCCAAAATAACATTAGTAATTTCAGCTATGTTCTGTTCCACTAAAGCCACTGATTAAGTATTTTGTGCATAAGATTCCACACTGTTTTCACATAGGCGTGTATGGACTACCTGTAACCTAACCTCAATTTCATAATTGATAATGCATTTTTGAAATCAAGTGATGACAGGTATTTCTCAGATAAAGAAAAGCTGTGGTCAACTTCAAGTATTAATTTTGTCTTAGTTATTAAATGGATAGTTTAAAAATTGTAACATTTAATGATACCCTTCCTCATGATCCCTATAAGTGTCACTAACCATTTCATATTATCCTTCCTGTAAAAGAAACCAAAATAGATACGATTTTGGTGCCTCAGTAAGTCATGATGCTGCCATGGAGAAGTAAACAGAAGCAATGCTCTCTCTATGGAGGGTGGATAGAATTGGAAATACTACCTCTTCAGGAGTATAACAAAGCTAATGCAAAACTGCTTCATAGGATTTATTTTATGGCTTCAGGTATAAGAAAGATTATGCCTTCTTTAGATCTGACCCCTAGAAGTTACTAGACTTTTTAAGTATACCTTGAGGAGTAGTTTTAAGAACTTTCAAAATCATTGTTCTCAGAATTTAAAATGCCCTAATCACTGTATCCAAAGTGTTGGGAAAATACTTTATAGAGCTTGTAAAACTCTTTATGTGAAAATGCTAAAATGCTTACTCCCTCTTTTTTTTTTAAACGAGGAAATTAATAATTTATTTTCAGTTGATTCCCATGTGTTGCTAAATGTGTATTTCTCAGTAAGACATTCATCCTCAGTTTTGTTCTTATTTGTGTTCTAATATGGAACTTTAATAGAAGTTCAGTTTGTGTCTAGAGGAAAGCTTTACTGCCAAACTGTTGAGACCACCTTATAAAATTTCCATAATGATTCAGTGACATACAGACTTCTTTGGATGAGTCTTTTTTTTTTTTTTTTACGATTTTATTTACCTATTAGAGAGTGAGCACAAGCAGGGGCAGAGGGAGAGGGAGAAGCAGACTCCCCGCTGAGCAGGGAGCCTAATGTGGGGCTCGATCCCAGGACCCGGGGATCATGACCTGAGCCGAAGGCAAACACTTAACCAACTGAACCATCCCGGCGCCCCTGGATGAGTCTTAAGAGTCTAAAGCTAATGTAGTTAATTTGTTCAAGCGTAAGGCTTACTGTACAAAATTAAAAGTTGAGCACTTTGCTGGTTCCATGATGGCATTGACTTTTTCACGAGATTTCTTACTAATTTGGATAAAGATCAAGATAGACCTTTAGTAGTATTTGGATTAGCTTGATATTTTGAAGCAAATGGTATCTGCCTTCAAGTATGCTTAACTGATTTTGTTTTCTGTTATAAATATTCCTAAATGATTTACATGACTGAAATGGTTAAAGTATATTTACTGTTATAATACTACTGGATTGGTTTTCCGTCCTGTCAGTGTCTGACCATATCATCTTAGACATTTTTAAATAAATTAGAGATAATGTGGTTTTTCTGTTTTATTAAGTGTTTGCTAAATACAGTTTCTTGAGGTTTTGCTTTCTTTGCCATCTTTTTTTTTTAAGATTCTATTTATTAGAGAGAGACAGAGAGTACAAGCGGGGAGGAGAGAGAGAAGTGGGGAGCAAGGAGCCCAATGCAGGGCTCGATCCCAGGACCCCGAGATCATGACCCGAGCCGAAGGCAGACACTCAACTGACTAAGCCACCCAGGCGCCCCTCTTTGCCATCTTTCTAGTAGAAAAATTTGTATTCTGTGAGTAAATAATACTGAGTCTCTTGAAATCATTTGTACTCAGTTCAGCATAGAATGACCAGTCATCTCAATTTGCCTGGAACTTCAGGCATTTCCCAGATGGAGGGTTTTTTGGCTTTATACCAGTCACCTTACTTTAACCTGACTAATTATCTGAAATAAAACTTTTTGTGAACTTGGGAAGCTATTTCCAATATATTGGTATTGCTTTAAAAGAGTTTTATCGCAGCGCCTGGGTGGCTCACCGTTCAGCGTCTACGACCTTCAGCTCAGGTCATGATCCTGGAGCCCCATGCAGGGAGTCTGTTTCTCCCTCTGCCTCTCACCCCACTCATATGTGCATGCGTGCTCTCTCTCTCTCAAATAAATAGGTAAAGTCTTTAAAAAAAAAAGTTTTATCACTCTCATTTGCTCTTTTACCATTAACAAATTGCTGTGGTAATATGAATTGTCTTTAAAGAGAATCATTTAAAATACCAATTTCTTTGTTTATAAGAGTATTTGACAATTGTGGTTTAATTCTTTTTTTTTTTACAGGTATGTTGAGTCGATGGGATGACAGTCAGAGATTTTTATCTGACCATCCATACCTTGTATGTGAAGAGACTGCTAAATATCTTATTTTATGGTGTTTTCATCTAGAAGCTGAGCAGGTATTGTGTGAACCTTGAGTTTCTGGAACCTTAGTGGAATTCTGATTTACTTTTTTGTTTTGTCTTTTATGTTACTTTAAATGAAAGCAGGAAGGTTCTTAAATGGAATTAATACTTTTTTTGTTTTTAGATCTACTTGAGTTTACTGTGGGAATATTTTTAGTTGTTTTAGTTAGCATATGGAAACTTCTCTCCGGTGTGCTTTCTTTGCCGCCTCATCTCTCTTGTTCCCACCTACTATAAACCCTTTTCTTTTTTAACCTATTGAAAAATCATGTTTTAAAATCCAAATAGTAATCACAATATTAAATTTCCAGAGGTATTTCTCATAATTTTAATCTGTCTGTTTTCAGAAAGGGGCTCTAATGGAACAAATAGCACATCAGGCTGTTGTAATGCAGTTTATTATGGAAATGGCCAAAAACTGTAATGTGGATCCAAGAGGGTGTTTTCGTTTATTTTTCCAGAAAGCCAAAGTAAGTAACTATTTAATATTTTTAAGTGGGAAGATTAAGCCTTAGCTGAGACCTCTTTGGTCCATATACATCAAAGGCAGCCAGTCCAACCAGAAATTCTCCAGAGGTATATATACTAGAGAACAGATTTCTCAACATGTGGTCCAGGGACGCCCAACAGTCTTCAAGACTTGGTTTCAGGAGGCCTTGAGTCAAAGCTGTTTTCATAATAACACGAAGATGTTATTTGATACAGAAGCAGATGTGTGAATCCAGCTATCTTCTGTTAAGCCAGACTTGTCACTAAATATTTTTGTTTCGGAAATAAAGTTTTTTAAAATAAAAATGTTATAAATGTTAACATGTAATGGGTTTGTTGTTGTATTTTAGATAATATTTTTCAAATTCCTGGGTTTTACTTTCTAACACAGTGAACATTGGCAAATAATAGCCCATATAATCAGGAGCTCTTTAGTTTTCTCAGTAATTTTCAACAGTGTGAAGGGAGTCCTGAGACCCTGAAGTTTGAGAACTGCTGCCCTTGAGAAGCTCTTATACATGTGCACCCACCACATACCATAATGTTCATAATAGAATTGTTCCTAATTGCAAAAAGCCTGGGAGCAACCCAAGTGTCTGTTGACAGTAGAATGAGTGGGATATTCATTTGGGTAAATATTAACCAGCATTACTGTGGATGAAAAAACAAGAGTGTGGGGGAAAAACAAGTCACAGAATGATATATTCAGTAGCTTTTAAAACATATTCTGTATTCTTTATAAAGTTGCAAAACAAGCAGAACTAAACAATACATAGTTGAAGGGTACATAAGTAAGCAGTAAAACTGAAGGGGCAAAGGAGTGACTTTTAAGAAGAAAGTAACATCAGAGGAGGGAGAAGAAACGCTCTTGGGAACTGATTTGTAAGAAGCTAGTAATGATCCATTTCCTAAGTTCTGTGGGTACATAGTTGGGTTTTGTCCAGTAAACTACATAGGTATTTTACATTTTTTTAATATATATGATTCATTTCAGCATACACAGTTAGACGTTAGAAGAAAATATACCAGAAGTTTAACTTTGATTATTCTTGGGTGGTAGAATTACACATGATTTCCATTTTCTTTTATATATACTACAATGAACATATTCCCTTTTATAAAGGAAAAAAATGTATTAAGTTAAATGTATTAAATTTTAAAAAAATACATCAGGTTGATAGTAGCCCTACCTTAAGTGCTTTAAACACTTCTAAAGTGCAGCCATTTAGGAAGTTTTCCCAAAACAGTAAGAGTTTTAATAAGTAAATGATTGAGTTGGTGTTTTAGTTAGGCTTCTAAGGACTATTCTAAATGTTCACTTGACACACAGGCATAATAAAAACCATACTTTGTTCTTCACCTTATATGATTGGATATGTTTGAACTCGTGCTTATTAATAGGATAATGGAACATAGCCAACCTATGTCTAGTCTTTGAAATTTACTTTGTCAGAATAGAACTGAAAAGTCTTTAATCTTAGCATTTTGTTCTTAACAATAATTTTTTAAAATTAAGGAATAACTAACTTTCATGGTACTTACTACTTTGTGCCAGGTACTATTCTAAGCACTCTACATGGATTAAGTCATTAAATCCTCATACAATTTTATGAGGGTTATTATTTCTATTTTACAAGTTAGGAAATTAACATAGAGAATAGGTTACTTAAAGCAAAAATTAGTCAAGTCTCTCTAGATCTAAATCCCCAGGCCTTCGGCATGCAGTAAAGCCAGCAGCTGTACCACTTGGCTTCTTTCATAGTTTGTTGCATAACCATTTGAGAAGGATTACTTCTGGATATGAAGGCTAATAGCGTGTATGTCTCTACAAGTACCATATATTGATCAAAGTGAAATGCTATAATATAATTAGGGAAATGATTGCTAAATTCATAAAAAGGTAGAATGGCAGCACAGAATATTGTCTGTGTGATTTGTATAGATATTGATGTTAATAACTAAATAACTAACTCACAGGTTTTAATTGATTACATAACCTAAACTACATTAAAGAAAAAATAGTTTTCCACACAAATGGGCCCCGTGATATTATAGAATGAGATTTTGACAAAATCTCTTCCATCACCTGAACTTAAAGCCTAAAGTCCTAGCATAGTATAAGTACTGTGTCATTCCTTATCTGCAGAGGAAACCTAAGTGGAGGCTACTGCCAATTGGGTGTTTTACATCAAGAATCTTGATTGTGGGGCCCCTGGGTGGCTCAGTTGGTTAAGCGACTGCCTTCGGCTCAGGTCATGATTGTGGAGTCCCAGGATTGAGTCCCACATCGGGCTCCCTGCTCGGCTGGGAACCTGCTTCTCCCTCTGACCCTCTCCCTTCTCATGCTCGCTCTCTCTCTCTCTCTCTCTCTCTTTCTCTCTTTCTCTCTCTCAAATAAATACATAAAATCTTAAAAAATAAAAGAATCTTGATTATGTCATACATCATTGGAGGAAGGTCCCCTCCTGCAACATAATACTCATTATACTTTTTTTTCTCTCCATAATGTTGAAAAGGTATTTGCTTCACTAAAACACTAAGGAACTTCCAGAATGGAATTGAATGTTGAATTTTATTTGGTTTTCATTGTTTTACAAATAGGGAGTATAGAGCTGGAGATTTACAGAAACAGCTAACAGTGCCCTACCGTTAATTGATGGAGAATTAGAAGGTTGTAAGAATATCCCTTGGTTGTTGCTTGGCAATGTGAGAGGTTAAATGAGAACTATTTTGGATCCTGTCAAGAATCAAGAGCAATACAGAGAATTCCTACTTTTGTTAAATTTGTGTGTATGTTTTACTGGTGTAGAGGGAAATGGAGCAAACCAATCATTAATATTCCTATAAAACAGGTAGTTTTCATAAATCTGACAGGGATCTTGGTGGTGTCTACGTACATTTAAACTATTCATCTTATCTTTACTTCCTCCACTTCAGATCTGATATGTTTGTTAGAATTTATTCTGTGGTCTGGAAGTCTTGAAAAACAGAGTCTTTGTTTTGTGTGTTTTCCAGGCGGAGGAAGAAGGTTATTTTGAAGCATTCAAAAATGAACTTGAAGCTTTCAAGTCAAGAGTCCGACTTTATTCTCAATCACCAAGTTTTCAACCTATGATAGTTCAGAATCATGTTCCTCATTCTAGTGTGGGATCTATAGGTTTGTTAGAATCCTTACCACAGGTAAGTTGGAAAAGTAAATTTTTGTTTTGTTTTGTTTTGTTTTTAACATTTATCTATTTGTCAGAGAGAGAGAGAGCACGCATACAAGGAAGGGGGGAGCGGCAGGCAGAGCAGGCAGAGGGAGAAGTAGACTTCCCGCTGAGCAGGGAGCCTGATGTGGGACTCGATCCCAGGACTCTGGGATCATGACCTGAGCCCAAGGCAGACACTTAACCGACTGGGCCACCCAGGCGCCCCTAAATATTCTCACCTCAGAAGATAACTTTCATTTCATGCCATGTTTTGGCACTAAATCTCTTCCATCTCTTGGGTATTTAGAGAGACACCAAATTCCACTCCTTTAAATATAGAAGAGATGAGTTGTACCTACGCACTCTTAAGGGCAAGTGTTACCTATTGATCATTTCAATCATAAACTTTTTAAGATGGCTCCTGGGGAACATCTCATTCTCAGCAAAATGTACTGTTAAGAATTTCTTGGGATTGGGGTGCCTGGGTGGGGCAGTCAGATGAGTGCCCAACTCTTGGTTTTGGCTTGGGTCATGATCTTGGGGTCATGGGATCGAGCTTGGTGTCAGCGTGGAGTCTGCTAAAGTTTCTCTCCCTCTCTCTCTGCCCCCCGCCCAACCCACTGCACACTCACGTGGGTGCTCGCTCTTAAATAAAAAAATCTTAAGAAAAAAAAAATTTCTTAGGATGAATTAGCTTCAGAGCATACATCCAAGTGGCAACCAGGGTGATTTGTTTCATGAGTTTATTTAGTATTATCTTATGAAATGTTGGCGTTGCCTGCCAGAGGTAACATTTTTAATATATTAATGCACCTTCTGCTAAGCTGCTCTTGCTAGTAATGGTCACTAACCTTTTGAGCCTCTGCTGTGAGATCTAGATAAAGCTGTGTTTCTAGCATGAAAGGATTTCTGTCAGAAGATTTGTTACCACTAGAAAATTGCTGCCCATGTTGATTTTAGTAGCATGTTAATTGAGCCCAGTCATTTCTCATTTCCAGGCCCCAAGATTCTAAGACCAGCTTTAGCCAGTTCAGTCTGTTGCCTACACAGTAAAAAGGGCAGACTCATTCAGAAGACAGTGTGAGGAAAGCCCTGTAGTTTTAAATCTCATAAAGTGGTAGGATTGAGATTTTCAATATCTACACCTTATGTCTCTATAATTTCACCATTTCAGTTACATAAGTCATAGGCCAAAGCGACAATTAAGGAAAGCAATTGATAATATTCAACTCAGGCAGAAATACTAATTCTCAAGGATAGAAATAATCAAGGTCTTGATTTTTACATAATTAGTAATATTTCCCCTCAGTTACATATATAAGTAATATTGCACTTCCATTTGTCCTATGGAGTATCTCTTTTTTTTTTAAGATTTTATTTATTTATTTGACAGAGAGATAGGGAGAACAGGAACACAAGCAGGGGGAGAGGGAGAGGGAGAAGCAGGCTTCCCGCTGAGTAGGGAGCCCGATGTGGGGCTCGATCCCAGGACCGTGGGATCATGACCTGAGCGGAAGGCAAGACACTTAATGACTGAGCCACCCAGGCGCCCCCTACAGAGTATCTCTTAATGCTCTTTAAATATAGTAATGATTTTCTCTTCCATACTTTGAGAAATAGCCCACAGGGAAGTAGTCTTTCCAAGGGAATTTTATGACTGTAAGACACTGTCAAGTCCAATATATAAACCTATAATTAAGATACCACATAATGAAAACAAAGGAGAAAAAAGAGACTTTGAAGGATGTTATTGGTTCTAAACATAAGAGGGAAAATATATACATTAAAATATCCTAAGGGGCCTGTGTTATCAACAAGTCGCTTCTAATTTGAGAGAAGTAAGTTCTTACTGCATATATCAGATAGCTGCCGAGGCTGCTACTCGGCCTCCCTTGGCGAGATGGGGGGCTGGGGCTATACAGTTTTGACACTTTAAAGTTGCTGACATTATCAGGATTGTTCAGACTTAATTCATTTGGGCTAATTCCTCATGGTTGGAGAAGTTGAGCATCCTGGTCTAGTCCTCCTGAGGGAGAGAAGGGCTGGATAAAATTTCAGCTAGATGCCCAGAAGGACTGTAGACTGGGTGATGGGAAGCTTTGGGGAGAAAAGCGTACCGTAGTAATTATATCCCATTTTTATATACAGTTTATAGATTGCAAAACACTTTCATATGTTGCTTCATTTTATCTTCTCAAAAGCCCTGTGATTCATTTTCATTCATTTTTATGGATGAGTAAACTGAAGCTCAGAGAGGTTAAGCAGTTTGTCTGATGACACGGCTAATACTCCAGTCCTGGATTTCTAGCCTACTTCACTTCTTCACCCACACTAATATTGTTGTTGAATCATATGCTAGAAACAGGACAGGAGACACAGTCATGTGCTCTTACAGAGAACTAGTCACTGGGATGAGAAATGTGTTGAGAATGCTACTAGATGAAAATACGGGGTAATCAGTGGAATTTAAGTGTAGATTAGGTTAGGTATGTTGGTTGCTTTTTGTTTTTTTAAGTCTCTCCATGATGAGGTCTTAAGTTCTCAGGGAGATGGATGATGAGTTCTGGAGCACTCCAATCCAGTCTTGGTAGAGAAATTGTAAGCGCTGTTCTGAAGGCCTTTGGAATTGGGCTTGCATTGTCAGAAAAGGTCTTAGCGCTCTGTTTTTTTTGGAGAATGGGATAATGTAATGAGAGCTTAATAATTTTTTATAAAACTTAAATTGGCATAACTTCAGCTTTTATTTATTTTTTCAGTTGACATAAGCAAATACCATCTTGTGAAATAAGCAAATACCATCATCCTTAGTTTTGAGAGAACTACACCAAGACCTCTTGGACAGAGGTGTTGTAACAGTTACCTTAGATTTATCCTATAGACCAGCTTTTAATTTTATTAAATTGTGATGAGTAGTTTTCTCTGTAAGGACTGCACTACATTAGGTGGTAGAGGCAGGATTAGAACTGAGGTCCAAAATTACTGTAGTATTCCAGACCTCAGTCAGTTATTGGTGCCTTCATCAAGACTTGTTGGGGGATAATCTGGCTTCTGGCTAGCTTTTTGACTTTTACAGATAATGGAATCACAACGTATTGTACTTTATTAAAAAAGAATCTTTTGAAAACCATGCCTCCCTACGGGATGGGAAAGTTTAAGACATCTATCCCATTTGGACTATTTTCCTCATTGGTGGTCATTAAATAAAATAAACAAAAACAAATGAAACCAGGTGATAACGGTGGTAAAACTCTGAGTAGCTAGCAGATATTCAGAACAACTGAATAGACAAATTGAATTCTTAGGGAAGAATTTCCTAAGGTCCTGGGTCTTAAGGGTTAATGTCCTTAGTCATGGTGCTTTAATAAATAATAGTTTTATTTTTGCATTTATTGAATAAGGTTTTCTTCCTAGCTTTAGAAATATACAGATAGTATATTTATGAGTTTAAAAAATAAAATCCAGGGCACCTTGGTGGCTCAGTCAAGCGTCTGCCTTCGGCTCAGGTCATGGTCCCAGGGTCCTGGGATCGAGCCTCACATTGGGCTCCGGGATTGGCGGGAAGCCTGCTTCTCCCTCTCCCAATTCCTCTGTTTGTGTTCCTCTCTCGCTGTGTCTCTGTCAAATAAATAAAATCTTTTAAAAAATGAAATAAAATAAAAAATAAGCAAAATCCAAATTAAAATGTTCTTTTATCCTCGATTTTTAAAATATGGATCTAAGTACCTCTCAAAAGATTAATAGTTTCTCATTTGAGTTTGTTTTTAACCTTTGCAAAGCCAAGATAGACTCTGAAGGTAGCTATAATTTTTACTTGGTAAATGCATTTTTTTCCTTATTCAAGTGTTTTGCATTTTTAATATTTACTGTGGTAATTAGATAGTAATCTTTAAAACACATTGCCAACTTAAAGCCATATTTATCTTTTAAATTGTCAGTAGCTTTGTACGTAGAATTACATGGAAGATGTACCCTTATATGATTAAATAATTTAAATTGCAAGTTTTGTTAAAAGGAAGAAAAAGTTAGTGTTTATTACAGTTCTGTTTTTTACATATATCTGTCTTTGTCACATCCTCTTTGGAACAAGTGGTCCAGTCTATTTTCTTTATCTACTTGGGTTTCAACCCAATTTTGAATTCAGAGTCCATTTTCTTCCCCACCTACTTTACTTGTACTACACTGCAGAGAAGTAGACTGTGTGAAACTGAGTATGTAGTTGCGTACACTGGCATAAAACTGTTATCATCCATTGTTTCTTCCCTATATTCTTTTTTTTTTCCCCCCAGAATCCAGATTATCTTCAGTATTCTGTCAATACAGCTCTTTGCAGTTTAAACTCAGTGGTACATAAAGAAGATGATGAATCCAAAATGATGGACACTGTATGATTTGGTTAAGACTGCTGAGGCCAAGTGCTATTTTGTTACAAGGAAGGAAGAACTTGGCTATTTTCTTGACACTTTTATGGGTGCTGCACTTTATTTTTGTTCGGTTTTGATGGGAGGGGAAAAAAGAGTACTGAAACGTTTTGTAAAATTTTTTTTATGTGCTGCTAGGTTTTTTGATTTTTTTTTTTTTTTTTTTTTTTTTTTTTTAGGGAGGGGGGGGGTATTGTGTTTTTTTTGGTGTAAAATTGGGTTTTTTTTTTTTTTTTTTTTTTTTTTTTTTTTTTTTTGGAAGAGAGGAGTGGTACCGTATGTTGTAGGAAGTCAAACTGGACTTTTTTTTTTTTGGCTACTAAATTTGCCTTTAATCTTATTGTTCTCAGTTTTGGAATCAGAGTGTGAAAATCTGCACAAATGCAATGTTTACAAGAACTGGTTGATTCTAGGAGGCATCTGCTACAGTCTCTTTTTATGTGGATATGTACATGTCCTACTCTACAAAAATGATTAAAGATAAAAATGTACTTGTATCCTACTGCAAATTTCGCTGTCAGGTCTGGTGTTGCATCATAGTAAAAGCAATAAATCAGTAGTTGATAATCTACTTTACTAAATAAGCTGGGTGGTAAAAATTAAAACAAAGTCCTTCCCTTTAAAATAATATTACATTTGTATTTTCGACACCATCAGTTAAATCCTTGACTATAATCTCATTTTTTATATAGATACTGACTTTATCCCCTATGTATTCTTAAAACTGCATTACTTAGAAGTTAATTTTACCCTGTTGACTTTTCAGTATTAAGGGTTATAGTAATATAAAAAGTGATAAAACTAATACAGATTTTTTTTTTAATAAGATCAAGTTCAAGCTCACTCTTAATTTCTTTACTTGACATAGTCTGGGATCTCTCAGGGAGCAAGTTTTAAAAGAATACTAATGGCCTGTAAGAACAAACAGGAAGAATAATCTGATTTTTTAAATCATGGTTGTTTGTTTCATTCTCATGTAGCCCAAGGACTTTTTTAAAAGGCAGGAGAAATCTTGAAGACCTAACTGCCTCGAGCTGCCAACTCCTTACTTCTAAGAATTTGGTGATCCTTGTTGGTAATGATGGCTTTTACTACATTTGTCATTTCTGTCCTTAGGTCAGTTACCATAGAATGCTTCTGAGCTTTACTACTTCCTATAGAATTCATTTCAGATGTGCCAGGGTATTTGAGTATTCACTTGGAATTAGATGACAGTGCTAATTATGCTCTTCTTATTATTGAGGATTCATCTTCTGACTTAGGGGAACATGGGCTTTGCTGTGTATTGGGTATAGTCTCTGGCTCAGTCCCATTGAGAGTAGCAGCACACATCTGGAAGACGGGCTGACTGGGATTGGGAGTACATGTCTCAATTTGAGAAACCAAATAATGCTAAGGGACCCATGTGATCAGCCCTGTGACCGTGGCCTCATTTGCACCTTGTGTTAACTGAGGTGGTAAGGCACATGATACCCATAGAAATGGACTGGAATTATTGAATCATACTTCTGTAACATCACAATCTTCCTGGTTTTCAGAATAAAACTTTTTGTGCTTTTGATAAAAATATATACTCTATAATAAAATGTTTGACTAATTTATATGGTAGTATTCATCAGCCTGTAATTTTTTTTTAAACTAATGACCTAGTTACAGAAGGTTTGTTTTTGTTTTGTTTTCCTGTTCTAGAGTAAGCTCTTGTTTTTCCCTTCCTGTCAAATAGAGACTGGAAATCCCCGATGTCACAGAAATGTTACTTGAGCCATTACCTCCCATTCCTCAGCTTCACCTTTCCCCAGGATCTGCCTGGAAGCACCCAAATTGTTTTGAATCTCCTTTGCCTTTAAGTTAGAGGTGTTAATGACCAAGCACTGGGAGGAACGAGATGACCAACCAACTGAGTAAACTACGGAAGGGTTATTTGGTTGTGTTCTCTGAAACAGGAATTCTTGAAGAACTATTTAAGATTGTAGCTATATATATATTTTTTACTTTCAAAGGGAAGTGTTCTGTGTGTTGTATGTATATACAATTGAGTTTACTCTGGGGGCCCCTAATGCCATGATTTGCACTTAGAGACTTTAACTTTGACATATTTAGCAGTACTTTAGTACTAAGAACAGTAAATTGACGCCCTTTTTATTTTTCTTTATTTTGCTTTAGTACTAAGAACTACCCCTTTCAAGAAAAATGTCCTCTTTTCTGTTTCTTAATAAATAATAAATAATATTTCAGATTGAATTTTGCTGCGCTGTCCGTACTTGCTGGGCTGTCCAGACAGATGAAATGTCCCAACAGATGAATGAAACATTTTGACATCAAAGTATCCATCAAAGATTCTTATTTCATCTGATAAAATTAACCTTCTAATAAAAGATTTTTTTAAAAATTAAGTAGCTACTACATTTATTGCCCGTTAACTCGGTGTCATTTTATCCATGGTAGTGGAGATAATACTGATCCAAAATTCGTCTCTAGGAGATAAATGGGTAACATTCTCATCCAGTTACACCATTAGTGGGCTCTTTCCAATTCTGCATAAGCTCATAATGTCCTATAACTTCTCTTTAGGAAAATTGGGTGTTCTTTTAGATTAACATGCCTGTTCCCTTTTAAAAGTGAATTAACATGCTGATCAAAGAACATGAGTCCGGTTTAATAAGTAGATTTACTTACAGGATGAAAAAATTGATTGTGGGTTTAGGCAGTGATCCTGAAGTTAACCTTGGGGCATTTTCAGAGAAAAATAAGAAGATGTCAATATACTGTTCTCAGGATCAATCACATATTTCAGTTCTTAAATTGATAAGAGACGGAGATGTATTTGTCAGGATTAAGGTCAGACTGTTCATTTCAGTTTTGTCACTATATCATACACATTTTAAAAATTCCTAAAATCCTTTGCATCCATTTCCCATCTGTAATAGATACTGTGTACCATTTCACAGGTCTCCGAGAATTGGACTCATGGAATAAGTATTTGCTTGCTTACTAGGTAAGGTGATTGGGGGGGTGGTTACAAAAGAATAAACAGTTATGAATTGCTTAGCATCTAATAATGATGTCAAAACCATTCTCATAAGCCTTGAAGAATTAGACTTGAAGTTTTCTCTTTTCTAAGTATCAAAATGATAAAAAAAAAAATCCTGCATCTTTAACTTGGTTTCTTAAAACAGCATGATTCTCTTCAAACACTTGGTAAAATATGAAACATCACCAAATTGATTTACTTCGGTAAAATCCTTCCAAAGTGCAATTTGGCGTTAACAGTTGAACTTCAGTCAGTGCTATATATATGGAAAAACCATGATCATTAGTTGAAAAAAAAACAAAACAAAACACAAAACAGAGTGGTTGGCTTTTACTGTGTTTTAAAATTTTTAAACTAATAACCTCCAAAATCAAAACCTTGAGTTGCAAAACTAAGAAAGCTATTTCTTTTGTCCATGAGAAGACACAGTTTACATGTTTTAAACTACAAATTTATTCTTGCTGTTGGTTGCAGGCATTATAGCAATTTAACCTTTAGTCTGTAATTACCATGGTTTGTTGTTAACATAGATAAGTTTTATCTCAAACTATGAAGTGTCCAAACTATTTTGCTGGGATGCCATTGTAAATACCTGGGGGAAAGTAGCTGTGGCCTGGGGTTTAGAAATTTGAGTGAGTATGTAATCTATTTCAAATGAAATTGAGAAAATTTGTGGATTGTACTGCCAGTTTGCATTTCCCACAGCACATTCTGCTTATGGAATAACTGTGGTATTCTGGAAAATAGGGTAACAGGTTAAGGAACTGTTCTTTTTTTTTTTTAAGATTTTATTTATTAGAGAGAGAGAGCAAGAGCAGGACCACAAGCAGGGGGAGTGGGAGAGGGAGAAGCAGGCTTCCTGTGGAGCAGGGAGCCCGATGTGGGACTCGATCCCAGGACCCTGGGATCATGACCTGAGCCGAAGGCAGACGCTCAACGACTGAGCCACCCAGGCGCCTGAAACTGTTCTCCTTATTAGCCTTTAAGGATGGTGGCTCCCCCTGGCCATGGCACTCAGCTCCAGACATATTTCCATGTGGCACATAAATTGTAATGATGGCCGTTGAGCATTATGTTCTTTAGCAGGATGTGCTCCTCAGCAATGACAGCTTTCATCAGGATGGTCTGACACCAACTCATTCAGCATAAAACAAGTTCTCTTTATTTGCTATAATAAAGGAAAAAAGTAATAGTGCAGGTGTTCCCCAAAGTAATGGATATATGTGCAAAACTTTGGGTGAAGTGTTTTAGGAGTAGGGAGGGAATGGTCACAGGGAAGAAGTCTCAGTTTTCAAAGCCATGTTCTTCTACCCCTCTTCTTGATTTCCAAATCTACGTGTGTTAAGAAGGCCAGTATGCCTGCAATCCTATAGCAGGAGATAACAGCTTCAAATGAAACCAGCCTATATACTGTTGTAAGACAGTTATTAGAAAGCAGTCATCAGGGCGCCTGAGTGGCTCAGTTGGTTAAGCGACTGCCTTCGGCTCAGGTCATGACCCTGGAGTCCTGGGATCGAGTCCCGCATCGGGCTCCCCACTCAGCGGGGAGTCGGCTTCTCCCTCGGACCCTCCCCTCCTCATGCTCTCTATCTCATTTTCTCTCTCAAACAAATAAATAAAATCTTAAAAAAATTTAGAAAGCAGTCATCAATTCAGAAGCCAGGGAGACATCGGGGATGGGGTGGGCCCCGTGGAATACCGAAGACAAAGTAACACCCACAGTTCCAAATTTAATTTTATTGTAGTACACTAATACTCATGTATGCCTGGTAACCTAGTGATAATTCATTAGTAGTTTTCAAGTTTTAGAAAGCACATAATACTAACATTCAAATAAGGCATTACAGAAAGTTTTGTACAGAATTAAATGTGTCCTATAATCCTTCTTAAAAGCCTTGGTCCATTCTGAAAGATCAACATTAAATTTTTAAAAATCAAAAGAAAAGAACTTTTTTCCCCACAAAATACATAAAGAACCACTTGCTGGCGTTTATATTTTAAGTGCCAGGGATACCACGGGCCAGGCGTTCAAAGGCACTCACCAGCAGCTTGCACGAGGACTTGTTGCACTGGGGTTAGCACCGAGGAAGAGTGAATAGGCCAGTGAAGACGTAGCTGGGTCGCT